GAGCCGCGGGCGCTGTGAGCGGAGCCCGACGGTGTCAGCGGGAGGACGTGCCTCCTTTCGGCCTTGGTTTCCCTGGGAAGGAGGGGCGGTAGGCTCTGGCTGGCTGCTGGGCCGCGGTGGGAAGGCTCTGGGTGAGCAGCTGCTGGGATTCGTTCGATGGGGTGTAGCAGATGAACTGGACGCCAGCTCTAGTGCTGATGGGATTAGATGATCCTCCAAACCTCTGTTTCTAAGAAACACAAACGTTTCTGTCAGGACTGTAAAAGAGACAGCATGTAACCAAGCTTTTCCCAAAGGGATGCTTTATATCCTCCTGCTGGTTTGGACCTCAGTGGTAGTAATCTCGCGTTTCCGTATTCGATTGTTCTCATCTCATGAGCTGAATTTAAACGTGCACAATTCCCTGCGCACCGTGGTGTGCAGGGTGCTTCCAGCCATGTGCCTCCATCCCTCTGGCTGCAAGTTGGGTCAGTTAATGCTTTCACGTGCTTGGCAGAGCAAGTCATCCTATTCTTTGTTTTCTTTCCTCAAAGCCTGAAGAGGACCAAAAGCTGATTTATTCTGGGAGGCTGCTGCTGGATCATCATTATCTGAGAGAGCTGCTGCCAAAGGTATAAAATAATCTTTTACACTGTGCCGAAATGTATCAAGAATTAAGTGATTTTTTTTAACATGTTTTCCCTTACATTTTAGCACGAGGAGTTGCATGCTCTTCATTTGGTGTACAACTTCAAGGCTCCTGCAAATGTGCAAGAAACCAGTGCAGAGGTACTCTCACTTAGTTTACGTACTATTCTGAATCATGGGGTTGTGACTAAAAAGGGGAAGTATCAAATGGCTATTTTAGTTTGCTGATACTGCAGCTTTTTCCTGCTAGTGCAATGGCAGCATTATTTTGTAATAATTTGGTTAGGAATGTGAGACGTAATTTAGATTAAGCTGAGTACAGAAAAAAATTGACTCTGCAGTTCATCAGTAAAGATTCTCATGGCATCCGTTAAGAAACGTCACCACTATAATCTAGTTGTAACACACTGCTCAGAATAGAAAGGCTTTCTGGTAAATTAAGTTACATTAAATAGAGTATGACCCGTGTCCCAGGCAGAAGACATAGTAGTTACAGAGTGGAAGTAGTTCTGATCTGTAATCTGGGTGTGGGCAAGGAAGAAAGCTGTTAGCTGAAGAAGTTTTAACTGCCCTTGTTAATGACTCAGCCTGTAGAGAGGAAGCCAAAGATGAGCCTTAGTGCTTGAACTGAGTACTTACTGGTCTTATGTGCAAATGGCCAAAACCCGACCCGCGTCTGGTGTTTGGTAGATGTGAGCCAGCTTTGGTGTGGATGTGGCACAGATGTGCCACTACAAAACTGCTTTTGAATTCTGGCTACAGCAGCTTGCATATGTGAGTCCAAACTAATCAAAGCTAAAAAGTCAAATTGTTTTGAGTGCATTTCCCTCTATTTCTTCCAATTACATTTTTATAACCAGATGGGACCTGTCTGCATGTGTTAAAAATAACCCCCACAAACAAAAGAACCCAAAAAACCCCAGGTGTAGATCTGGTGAAAGGGAAGAGTAACATCAAGTCAGTTTTACATGCCACTCATTTCTAAAGGGAGCTTTAAAGTACTGATGGAGGTGCTTGTGGCATGGTGCCCAAGAGCAGTGTCGGTGCTGTGACAGTGCCTGGAGGTCCTGTGCAGGACAAAGTGTGAACTGTGTGGGAGTTCTAAAACAAGAGCATATTCTGTGTGGTGTAATCTTTTAGCATAAGGCTTGTGGAGTGTCCTGAATAAGCCTCACTAACTGCTTCGCTGTCCCTAGGTTAAAGCCCATCAGCCAAAGTTATTGTCAGAAGCTAGTCAAGAACCATCTGTATCTTCCTCAAATGGTGAAAAACTGAGTTGTTCTTCTGATGGCCAGTCTTCAGCAGAACCCACTAACAGGTAAATACAACTTTTACTTGAATCACTAAGACTTTTAAAACGTTGGCCTTGTGTGGGATGCCAGCCCCTTATGCCACACATACTGTCTTAAAGCCACAGAAGATGTGCCAAAGGGGATGAGGTTCTATATGAAAACTTTAGTGGACATGGAATAAGCTACAGGAAAATGCACTGCTTTGTTAGTTGAAAACTTGCCCTTTATTCATGTGGTTTATCCATGTGTCTTTATTACTCTAGAAGGAAAAACTAATTTTGCATTTGGATGCACAAAATGGCAGGAGCTATCTACCTTGTCCTGTAATAAATGACACTTGCAGTTTGTCCAGTATTTGCTAATGAATGTTTTCAAATTTTGACCAAGGCTTGAAACAACTCGGAATCCCTTCCAAAGTGTGGCTCCTGGCTTCTCTGCTTACACAACCTACAGCATGCTTCAGATGTCCTGGTTTCAGCAGATTTATGCAAGGCAATATTACATGCAATAGTAAGTTTTCTGTTCAAAGCTACCAATAGAAATCTGTAATACATGGAAATAGAAATAGCTTCTGGCAGTTTTTCCTCTTTTGATAGTGGTCAGAAGACTTTTTTTTGTTGTAACATGCTGAATGGTGTGGGAGTGTACCTCTAACTGGTGTTAGCTTACTGTTTAGGCCAGTGCTTTGGAATCTTGCAAGCTCCAGATCTCTGTCTCTCTTGGTTGGGAGGGCAGGTGTCTGCAGAGTAAATGCAAAATCCTGCTGCTGAGCCTTAGCAATTCGTTTTTCTGACTGCTTAAAGCAGTCAGAAAAACCATACAGAGCACTGACTGGAAACCAGTGACAAAGGTGAAGTGGAGGCTTGCAGCAACCTCCCACACTACCTTTAGATTGCTCTAAGGAATTTTCTTTGCAAAGTATTGAAATTATTGTTTGTGATGTGGAAGGTGCCTGATTTGACTTGTTGGCGTCACTATGCAACTGTTATCATGGGTAGAACTAAAACTTGGTTTTAACCCTTCTGTAGCCTCTAAATTTGATGCTTTCTACTTGCACATGATCTGACTCTGAACTTAAAGATGGGCAAATTTTCAGTGCCTGTGTTAAGCGTGGAAGGATTTGACTAAGCCTTATTCTGTACTCTGATTTCAGCTTGGCTTCTACTGCCGCATCTGCTGACCCATCCCAGGCACGACGTTCTCAGGAGATACCCGTGGCACCCCCAGCTCCTCTCCCAGACCCGTTTCCTGCACAAAATCAGCCTGGAAACCAGAACGCTGCTGCCCAGGTTAACGCAGCAGCCGACCAGAACTTGCGGATGAATGCCCAAGGGGGTCCCCTCATGGAGGAAGAGGAGGAGGGTGGCAATCGAGATTGGTTGGACTGGCTCTACTCAGCAACACTGTTCTATGTTTTTGTCAACATTATCTATTTCTACTCTAGTGTCAGCAGATTCCTCCTGGTTATGGGTGGCACAGTTCTGATGTATCTGTAAGTGTCTGGTATCAACGCTTACTGTTGCATTCTGAGATGTTTCACTGAGCTCTGTGCTGTGGTCAGCTTTCTGGCAGCCGAGCTTCGTATGACTCTTGTACCTGGGAAGGGTGAACCACTCTTCTATCCTGGTGTAACTCAGGATTTAGCAAAAAAAAAAAGTACAACTTATGCCTGGATTAAATGGAGAATGGGTGATAGTGGGTGGTCTTACTTGGGTTTTGTACTAATGCTCCTGGTGTGGCTGCCTTTCTCTCTTGAAACCCAAGCAGCTGTCAGTGTAAAGCCCTAGCAGTTCGGCAGTGTAGAGCAGACAGACCTGTAGGTTCAATGGAGGAAATGACAGGTGATTGTTGGGGAAACAAGTGTTTGAGGCCTGTTGGGAAGAGGGTCTCACACCTGCTGTCTAAGTCGGGTACCTGTGTGGGTTTCTCTGCTGCGTGTCACCTCTCTGGAGAGCAGATAAGCTGAACTGAGCGCAGTGTCCTGAATTGCCTTTGAGCCTCTCTGGAGAGGGGGCAGCTTGGGGTAAATCTTAGAAGCACAGTAAAGATAATGGGCTGTCAGTTGACATGCTTGGGATAATCTGTCCTCTCAAATTCTTTGATCACCAGTGAAACAAGTGATGTAGGTCTTTGAATTCCTGTTGGTTGAAGTTGAAACTAGAGCAGCTCAAATGATCAGCTCTTTCAACCCCTATACAGACTTGGAGAGTGAAGGTTAATTGCTTCATTAGAAGTCCTTAAATTTTACTATTGATAATTCTGAAGTGTAACTTTGAACAGCTTATATGGTGGGCTACAAGGTGCAGTGCTGTAGAGATACAGACCTTCTAAGGAGGTCTATATGGCCTGTTACGTTTTGGTAAGATAGTGCTGTTCTTTGCACGTTCTTTGTTGTGCCCTTTTTTAGGGTGAGTACATAGGGGATACACCCAGGGGTGTATGTAACATGGTAAACAAGCAGGCTCTTTGTACCTCTAGCAGCATTCTCCAGCAGGTTGAGTCCTGATTGAGCAGATCCAAACATGGATGTAGTGCTGCTTTTTGAATGTCAGCAGATGCCCAGTTTTCCCCTCCTACCTTATGGTTTGCTGCTAACAGGAGGCTTTGAAAGTACTTATTGGGTCAGGGCAGAAAGAGACTTCAGTATGCTGAACTTGCTGTCTGCAGCTCTGAGCAGCCAGATGTTACTTGAACTGTGTTGGTATAACTGGAAGGAGTAATGGTTAACCATAAAAGTCTATTGGCTTCCCCAGGCACCATGTTGGATGGCTTCCATTTAGACGAAGACCAGTTCAGCCCTTGCCAGGCAATGTTCCTCCTCAAGCTGCTGTAAACCAGGACCAGAACAATAACTTACAGGTATTGTCTTGCTATTGTTTTTAAACCATGACCACGAAACCCTCTGAAGTTTTACTTTCAGTTTACTAATTACATGTAGTAGCAAAAACTTTTCTTTAAACTTGTCAGCAACTATCTTCCATGGGGGAGTAATTGCCAGCCTGAGTCCTTTGGACAGCAAATTCCTCTGTTGTACAAAAATATTTCAGGCTGGATGTTATCTTTTAGTTGCTCCTGAGCTTTAGGATGTTGTGATGGAGAGTCACTGGCTGAACAGGTTCTGCAGCTGAAGACAGGGTTTAGGCTAGTACCTCAGTGGTAAAATTTGAGTAGATAAGCAATCTGAGTCTTGAATTTCATTCTGTTTGATGTCAGTGAAAGTTAATTAGTTGTAAATTGTCTTGGTTTTGCTGAGATGGAATCATAGAATCGGTTTTCTGTTCAGAAATGCTACACTTCTGAAGTCAGCTGTGCTTTTAAGAGTGAGAGATTCAGTAAGAACAAGGACACTTTGGTTTAGTTTGTAGCCAGCTGTGGTGTGGTGATACCCGTAGTGATCAAAGACTCTTCCACTTGTTTTCACTCATGACACAGATGCCCAAGAACCTGGCGGGCGTGCGGCCAGGGCAGCGGACACTTGACTTGGCAAATGCATGTTCCATACCATGTAGCATCATTGTCATTATATATCGGGAGAGTTTGCTGGGGATGGGCTCTCTTTCTCAACGGTCGCCATCCCTCGAAGATCTTGCCTGTCATTCTGATCCCCAGGCTGACTCTCTCTGCTAGGATTGTGGTTTCAGGATTTTCCTGCTTTGGGATTTCCGGCTGGGAACAGGCTGGACATTGGTCAAGGGGTGGTGAGCAGTTGCACCATACATCACTTGTCTGTGTATATTATTATTATTATTATTTTCCATTTTATTTTATTTCAATTATTAAATAGTTCTTCTCTCAACCAATGGGTCTTCCTACCTTTTCCTGATTCCCCTCCTTGATTGGGGAGGGGTCACTGGGTAACAGAACAGCTGGCCAATGTTTAACCCTGGACATGGGCTAGATGGAGATGTAAGAGTATACATAGCTCACCTCATCTGGTGCTTCATGTGTGTCCTAAACATGTGACACTAAACAAGTGTCTTGGACATGCAGCAGGAGTTAACCAGTAGTACTAGTGTGCAGCTTGTTTTTTTTGACTTTGGTTGTCTGGGGATACTTGGAAGCTTTTTCTAGTCTGACAGTGACATTTAAGTGACAAAACATGCTGTTTGACACCTGATTCTTCTAACTCATTTCTACAATGATCTCACCACATGTCCTTTGTTTTGACAGGGGGGAAATGGAGGCAGAGCAGATGAATCTGAGGCATCTCCTGATGAGGGCCAAGTTTTACAAGAACTGCAGCAGGCCAACCCTTCATTTATGAACACCGCATGGGTTTTTTTCAAGACTTTCTTCGCATCCCTTCTTCCAGAGGGGCCGGGAGTGACCCGCAACTGATGTGTCACCAGTCTGCTCGTCTGAAACTGCAATGGGATTTAGTCTGAGTGAATCGGATACCAGCTCCAAACCAGGAGTGAAAGTGGATGATGCTTCCTCTGGCTTTTACTGACCAAGCAAATGAAACTGCAAGAAGCCTTAAGTCATTACAGCCTAGAGACTAAGATGCTTGCCCTCATTCCAAAGAACTTTGTTCTGTAGCATTCGTTAGGTACCTATGTAGAGGCTTGGCATTGTAAACTTGTGCAATAAATGCACAGGCTCTAAGCAGGTGTGCAAAAATGTTAGGGAAGCAAATTGCTTCTTCTGTGCAATGTGATTCCTGTTGGAATGTTTCGAACACTATTTAAATTACACTGAGTGTAGGATCTCAAAAAAAAGAAAATGCTAGATGTGCATTAGCAGATTTTTAGGAAAGATATATTGTTAAATTGCTTCAACAATAGCTTAAATTTTCTGTGTAAATATTTCCCTATGAAGGATGTGTGGTGCAATTTCCTTGTTGGACAAAGTGGAGGACTGTAAAACAGTGACCTCTTGATAAGCAGTTACCTCGGAGTTGCAGGCGAAATTTCGTGTTGCCAAATTCAGACAGCTTAAACTCAAGGCTTAATTTCCCCTGTGCCAAATCATGGGAGAAGAGTAAGTGTGTTCAGCTGTATCTACCAAGAACTTATGCAGGATGTAAACTTCCCTGCTTTTGGAAGCAAAGTTAAAGCAGTTAATTGCCTGTATTCAACTTTGATGCATTCTCACCCCAGAGCAACCCTTGTGTTACTGTGTTCCCTTTAATTTCTGATATGTTTAAGGGCTTTGATTCCAATAAAATCTGCAGACATTTATATCCATACTTATGTACACCATACAGCAATTGGAAGATTACCTGTGCAAAGCACAGGATGTACTCTCACCTTTTTCTGGAAAGATCATGAAAAATGAGTTGGGATATGAGGGGGAAAAAGATGCTTGCAGAGCCTTAAACTCAGCTCCCTGCCTAACTTCTTCAGTAACCTGTATTTAAAGTGTCGTGGGGAGCCTGTGGCTTGTGTTTGCTCACAGAAAGCCTCTGACACAAAGGCTGTGGCTATCTTGAAGCAGGTAATTCTGCAGGTATTTGGGAAGTTTGACCCCTTGAGCCCAGTGTGTGACACCTGGTGGCTTTGCAATGTGTTGTCTTGGCTCAGGGATTTATCTTGGCTTGAAATGTGCTGTCCAGGGACAACAGCTGCTCTTGAAACTTTGTGATGCTTTTCCTCAGTGCTGCTTGCAGTTGGCAAATCTTGTTTGTTTAGGAGTGCCTCGTCAGGGCTAACGTGCATGAGTTGGTGCAAGTGGTTGTAACAGCCTAACTGGTAGTGCTTGATCTTGCCACTTCAGATCAGACTGATGTTAGACTTGGTTTGTTGGTGTTACCTGCAGTAGCAAGTTTAATCCTAGTGATGTTTTTTTGGCTTTGAACAATGATTTCTTTTCCAAGCCTCTTACAAAGTAGTTTTTCTGCCACATCTTCAATTTGTTGGAGACTTGGCGAGGATGGGTAGGACGAAGTGGTAAAATCTAGTAATGGCATCTTCTGTAAATAGTTAGAATGAAGTAGTTTGAGAGGAGGTGAGTTTTGTTAGTTTGGGTATATTCTGCATAAGCCTCTGAGGATGTTCTCAGAGGTAGCATCCCCTCTTTCTTGCCTTGCTAGTGGTAAATTTACCTATGCTCAGCACTGTGTTTTATGGATGATGTTTTTTTTTCTTCAGGGTGTATCTAATCATCATTTGAGTATCTCAGTGATGTGCCTGGGCCCAGTCTCAGGAGGAGAGGGTACTTATTGGCAGCCAGAAATAAACTGGTTTGGTACTGGTTTAGGCAGCAAACATTGAGTGCTGGATTACTTGTGAAACCTCTAATCTGAGAAGTTACCAGAGACAGCAAAACATCTGTTTTGTTGTCCTGCGGTTTCTGCTACTCCCACAAGCAGGCAGATTGGTTTAAAATTAGCTGGAAAACTAATTAAGCATAGCTAATGTCACTGGAGGGATGTAGCGAGGCCTCTGGGCCTTAGAATGTTTCCTTAATGGCGTAGTGAAATGTGTCTCGTTTCCATTGGGGTGGAGGGAAGCTGTGGTGACTACAGCAGAGGACACTGGGCAAATAATGTGAATGTAAAGACCGTGTAATTCTGCAGAGAGCTGCCAGTGCTGCACCCGGGCAGGAGCACCAGGAGAGCAGTGCTTGGCTAAGGGCTCTGAGCCAGCCTGGTGTTGTGTGGGGTGGCCTGAACTTCTGTTGCTAATCCTGAACCAGTGAGAACCTCAGCTTTGCCTGGGAGCAAGTGGGGTGGGATGAGATGTGGGAGGAGCAGTGGAAGGAACTGGGGCAGCTCAGCCTGGAGGAAGGGCAATGTAAACAGTGATGGCAAGGAAGGGGATATAGCCTGTGTGCCAGCTGTGGGTGAGACAGCATGGGCCTTAAATTAGTTGAGGGAATTCAGGTTAGACATTGGGGAAAAAATGAGCTTTGAAACTGCCAGAGCAAGGCTGCTTGAAAGAGCAAAGGAATCCCAGAGAGTTTCTGGGAATAATGTGACCCTGTGCTGAGACAGAAGTGCTGAAGTTGCAGAGAACAGAAAGGACCTTGAGGCTATGGGTTTAAGAAGTTGGGTTTGTCTTGGCTCATGCTTCAAGCTGAGTGGTTCTGTTGCTAGTTTAAGCTCTCTTCATGCTTGCAAGCACAGCTGCAACTAATATAGCTGTTCAGCCATGGATGTGCTGTGCAGGGCTCCCCTGAAAGCAGGTGGGGATGGTCCATGGGGTGGCAAAGTGAGCAGCAAAGTAAAACCAGCTTCTCTGATGCTTTTTCCCCTGAAATCCTCTGGCAGCTTCCCCGACTTGAGAGCAGGTCCTTGCTGGAAAACAAAGGAGAAACGTATTGGCTGTCTTACCTCAGGTATTTTTCTTCTCACTGCAGAAACTTCTAACAGGCTGCTTACTTGAGGAGTCATTGAAGTCGTGTTTGTCACCAGGGGTATGCTCCTGTCGTCAACTCGTGCAACATAAATCTCATGAGGATGAGCTTGCTGCTGAGCAGATAAGCTGGGGGGAAGGGCAGGGACAGGAGCCGACTTCTCCTTTTCTCCAAAGAGCTGTTTCACTTGTGTATGTGCTTGTTGTCCCCGTTCTCAGCAGCTGGGGACATCCCAATGGCTGTGCACTTGCCCAGCAAAGTGTTACAACCTCCCTGTGACCCATTTCCAACTGTTGGAGGTCAGTGGGATTTGCAGAGCTGTGCATCCAAACGGTCTCTCCTTGCAGATGTGTCAGGCCAACTGGAGGCCATCCCAGGGCTATTCCCCTCCCTTGTGTTACCAAACATGCCAGCTGCACCTTTGTCACCTCATCCCAGCCCCTCTGCTTCGTAAGAACAGCTCTTAAAATGTCTGTCAGTATTTAATGTTGTCTGAGTAGCAACTGGAATGATAACGTGGAGGTAAAACCAAGCCTGGTGTACAGCCAGGGTCACCAACCTGCTGTGAGGGGCTTGAGGTCAGTTAATGCTCAGCTGTCTGCCAAGGAGGGTTGGGCAAATGCTGGGAAATGCTGTGTCTTGTGTCTGCTCAGTGGCCTGTGCTGCAGAGGAACCACCTGGACTTTCTTATATTAGCACCGAAAGTTGTATTTGCTGCTTTTTCAGTCTGGATTTGGCAGTGCTGCAAAACACAGCTGGTTGCTCTTCCAGGCTTCAGCTCTGCTGCTTTTGGCAGCCTCGGCTGTGAAAAGTCTGGGCTGACCTAGGGCCACTTCTGAGTTCCAGCTTATTTTTTTGGTTTTGGAGGTTTTAAAGGTGATACTGGTGGGGAAGAAGGGAAATCAGGTTGGTTTCAGGAGAATTTAATGGGAAATCATGTGAAACTTAATTGTTCAAAAAACTCTCATGGGTGGTTTACCCTCCCAAGTGGTAGGTAGTCTGTTAAAATCTCCCAATTCACCAACGTTTGTGTGGGATGGAGGCAGCTGGTTTTGGCCTCCCCCCCCTGCCATTCCAGGGCTGACCTGCTGTATGAGTCCTGGAGGTGGTGCTGGAGCCCATCCTGCTGATGGAGCAGATGGCCAGGCTACCTGGCAGGCTGTCTCAGGAAGCAGCTGCAGGGTAACACTGAGTGTTTGGGTCAATGCACTGTGATGCACCTCTGCTCTGGATAGCGTGGGGAAAAACAACCCTGGTTATAGGACAGTCCCCAGCAAGGTGGTGAGCGCACATGCCTGGCCTTCAGATAAAGCCTGATGCAGCAAATGTTTATCAAAACATCTTCCAGCACCCCCTTTGTATGTGCTGCACAGCAGCTTGGGCATTTAACCTTCCTTTGGGTTTTAAAGCCTGCCCTGCCTCCTGCTAGCTGAATTTAACCTTTCTTTGGGTTTTTTTAAAACGTGATCTGCCTCCTGCTAGCCTGACCTTGCACTGGGAGGAGGGTGGGCTGCTGCATCCCTACTGCCCTGGCCTCTGCCTGGTTACTCCAGGGCAGGGATGCTCACAGCACCTCTGTTCCACATGCTTTTGCTATGGCAGGCGGAAAGTCTCCAGCCTTCCTGTTCTTGCTGGAGGTCGATACCCGGCAGTCCCCTGTCCTCGCTTGCTCTCAGCTCGGGTCAGCTGCCTCTGAAGTGGTGAGAGGGCAGGGAAGCTGGTCTGTAAGGGGGCTGTGAATGCACTATGTCTACCATGACCAGCACATTGACTCTGGGTTCTTGGTCTTTCTGTCCTTACCTACCCTGGGACACCAGTGACAAATGGATCCCTGTATCAAATCACACTGGTTTTTCCTTCTTTCTTGCTTCCTCCTTCCCACCCCTGCTGCCCTGGGCAGAGGGGTGGCTGTGGCCTCCTGGGTCCTGCTCTGCTTTCATTGATGGTGACTGACACCAGCCGCAGCCGGGCTGATCTCAGCTGCAGCATCTCCTCCTGAGCTGTTCCAGTAAAATTTAAAGTGCGCACAACACTCCTGAGTTTGTGTCTTGCCATAAATGGGAGTGTGTCCTTCCTCTGCCGAAAGCTGTGCTGAGGATGTGGGCAGATGTGCTTGCCTGGCATCCAGCAGCACTGTGTCTCTGCCCATCAGCTGTCTCTGACAGCACTTTGCTGCCTCTGATGTTTGTGCTGCAGTGCCTGGTACCCCCTCCTGCTGTGCCTGCAGGGCTCCCTCCTTGCTGCTGGTGGAAGGGGAGGCAATGCCAAGGCTTGGGCTGGGTGCCGATGGTTGGCCTGAGGGAGGTACGAGGCAGAGGTGCAAGTTGGGCAGTTGGGGTCTTCTGTCAGCTCAGGGTGGAGTGGGGAGGGGTCTGTTGCAGGTTTACT